CGCATTGTGTAGAATAGTTTAAGGCTTTTGTCTAGAAAAAGCAATCGTCATTATTGAACATTGTTAATAGAAGTAACCATTACTTAAAATTAAAGAAAACCAACTCTCCCAAATTTCTCTTACCTAAATACAAATCCTTGTAAAGCCCCTCTAATATTACTAAACCCAACGATATCCGTAGATATCGGCACAGGAACTAGATAACGAATGAATACAAATCAGTCTATGCACTCTCCCTCCTCAATTGTTGTAGGTAAAGTCGTTAATTACGCCTAATTACGATCCACTTGCAACAGCATCTATTGTCATTTAAAATAACGACAAGTGATTTTTGAAGATGCATTAAAGAATCTGAGATTAATACAGCCAATAGAGAAGTATGATATAATTATTTGTATCGCATCAAAAGGTAAATACACTGGAACTGAAACAGCTGAGGTTTATTTAATTGAAATGATAATTTGGAAATCTAATCATTTAAGAACAATGATTATCATTGTGTAATTACAACCAGCTTCGGACTGTTAAGAAAAAATTCGTTTATCAAGGTTGATTTATTAGATTTGACTGTATAATTTTTGTAATTTTCAATAAATAACTTGTTTATTTATATGTTTGTTTGTTCTGAATAATATAACTATGTTGAAATATAAATCATAGTTCAATGATCTAATAAGTTTAAAATCTTTGACAAAATTGATATTGAGTACTATACATTAAATTCAACAAAAAAACGGTCCATTAATATCATGTCTGGATTATATATTAAACGAGAAACGATTTCATTTACGTATTATCGATCCAAAAAAAATTCATGAAGGTTTTGTTTGGGAATTTGAGCAACTGGTGAATCTTGTCAGCTGTTATTAATTAAAATAAAACTAGAAAAATGATTGTAATTTTTATATTAGGAATTGTACTATGTAAATAAATAAATTTTTATTCGAACCATAACTTTGAAAGACATTTCACGTAGTTAACTTCAAAATTTATTTTTAAACCCAATAGTGATCCGAGTCCTTCAATTAGATTTTTTGAAGGAATAAAATGAAATTATGAAGTCAATTGTTCGTTAATCTGAATACGTGCATGCTGCATCTAATGTGAAGAATTATGAATCGATTATAATAAACTTGTTATTCCCTAAATAATAGTGATTCTAAAGAACAAAGTTAACAACAACAGACAAAAACAAAAAGAATACTTTCTAATCTAAATAAATAATTCAATGGAAAAAAAAAAGGTAAATAATGGCTTTATGCAATAATCGAAGAAATTAGAGCTTATTTGTGACATACGTAGTTAAAACGAATTGCCAATTGTTTAATGGTATACGATTACTTGAAGTTTGGCTGTTCTTTTTGCCTTCATTTGAAATCTGTTACTTGTGAAATGAATGAAAAAACCAGAGGATGACATTTTTTAATATTGATTCCTAAATGTATTACCGTATGAAGCAATGAAGTATGGATAAAAATTTTATTTGCTTAAAAAGTGACAAATTTAAACACTCTCATCTAAAATCAGCTATATTATGTTTATTAATATCCTAATAATATTCATATTCATATTTAACCATTATTCAATAATCGGTTCCATAGGTTTCCCACGCCAACCGCAATTTGCATGAAATGAATTTATATTTATTTGAAAGCTAAAAACCAAATATTCAGAATATAATTTAATTTGAATATTAATCTTTATTTTTTGACTAATATTCATAAAAATTTTATGCTTCCCATGCACGGTAAATTATAATACATGTCTTTATCGTTATACTTATAAATCTTAACAAATTTTTTAGTATAATAATAAGAACACACATAAAGTAATACTAATTATTCGTTATTGATAAAATTATGATAATTGCAATGTATTTTATGAGTACCATAAAAAGAAATAACCTTGTAAAATTTGATCGACTTATCGTTATATACATACGTATTTCTATGATAATTTTCAGATTTTATACAAAATCGGATTTAATTTTAAGTGAGTCGTATTTTAAAGATTGTCATAAAAAAATACAAAATACAGAAAAATACATAAATACATATATAGCAAGTTGTATATTAAATGTTACCAAAAACTAAATTATCAGCGCTCTGATTATCCTCTGAAGACGAATACTCCCACTGATTAAACGCATCAATCGACAATGAATACTCATACTGTACCAATCGTTCTTCCTCATATTCGTTTTTCAACAATCCGAAAAGATTCACCTGGACAACATGAATCTTTTGGTACTGCTTGACCTCCAATAAATCCTCACGCTGATGTTGCTGAATCTCCTCAGCAGCAATAGTCGTTGAGTTAGCATTTGTCGTACCTTTCTGTAAGCCATCATTGATATTAAGAACATCTTGTGATGCTTTCTGAGTTTGAAAGTTCTCAGCACGTTGGACATCATCTAACTGCGCGTGTTGTTTGTGAATTACTTGTGCTTCTTCAACTTCAACCAAGAACAGATCGCCTAACGAGTCGGCTGTTTGGTATTCGTATGAACGTTGGACTTCCCACCAGTCTTCGCTTTCTTCTTCGAAATGCTGGTGGAGCTCACGTTGGAGCTCTGATTCGTTTGCTTCTTGGTTGTTTATTAGGATGTTGGTACCTTTTTTCTTGTCGTCTTTGATGCGATTGATGAGGCGTTTGTTTATGAATACTTTGTTGATTGGGTCGATAGTGGTAGCAGCGTCACGTTTCGACAAGTGAATGCTTAATGGCACAGTGACGAATAAAATTGCGAGCATACTCATGGCAAAAATCAAACTCAGGTATCTGAAGTGGATAGGAGTTACAGACTTCATTCTTATTTTTTTTATTATAATTTTCTATTCTATAAATCTAAATTAAAAGCTTATCAAAATTACCAAGTTATAATATTAATTACTATTACTTGCAATACATTTATAAGAATTCGGCAATCTACTTGGCTAATGTGCATGATTTTTCGGTAAAATCAATCACATCAATTAATCTATGTATCGGTGTATCACATTAATCAAATTTCATCTTTTATCATTGATTCCAACAATTCTATTATAATATAGCATTGAATTCGATAATTTGCATTTTGCCAATAAAATTTTTGTTTTGATTGTTTTGATGCACAGTAGGGACCAAAAATTTTTGCATAACCTGAATGACAAATGTTTAAAATTCAAAAAGTTGTAATATTATAATAATTAACTTTGATTCCATCATTTATACATTCTGATATTCATTTTTACCCAAATTGCCACTATTGTCATTTCAAACATTTATCTATTTCATTTACAGATATTCAATGGAGGGATTATAGTGGCAATGCTTTCTCTTTAAACGATTAGTTTGTTGTATTAGCAGAAAGAAGAAAAACGTCTCTAATTCATGAATATTGTCCAAATATTATAAATTGGACATATTTGAACAAATTATCTTGTTCATAATTATAATATATAAAATTGATTCCAAAATTGAAGTAAATGCAAATAACATGTATTACACTTTGGATGTCCAACCGAATATTTAGACAAGATGGTGTTTGTACCGGATTTTACATGGAAAGTTTGACTAAATGTTTGAAATTTGCGATTTTTATTATTAGTTAATGCGTGGATTAATATAGTTCTGTTACACATTTTCTTATTTTCTTAATAATGAGATTCGAATTTTTAAAAAGATAATTTACAGACCCTAATAAATCCTGTCTTTATATCCAGACATTTCACTGTATTTATATTTCGGGTCTAGATAAATATATTTCTTGAATCCAGATTTATGTGCTTGTAATTTTTTACCTAAACTCCCGGAATATAAATACCGGTGAATTTTTGGATAAAAACGACAATATTTTTTTTGATGCACTGAAATTTGAACATGGAAACACGACGATATATAGGTAACTACATGTATGTACTATACGTCGACCTTCTTTTAGACACAATCAACGGACTAAACTCCAAGATAAAATTTGGCGGAATAATAAATGAGAAAGGAGACTTTGAAGGCCAACTACAGCAACTTCGATCTGAATCGGGGAAATTTTGGCGGTTCTCCTTAACAGCTTTCTGGTGATCGGGAAACTTTTTTTCAATAGGAAATGATTTTATATAAGTAAATTTAAAAGGAAAATATTAGAAAAACAATATTGAATTCGGCACAAGCAAAATCACTGCATTTGTTATATTCGCATTCCTTTTGAGCTACTGGGTCTGCACTTGTATTAATTGGGATGATGATGGCCAAAATGTTAATTGAGATTGCATAATCGCCGGAATCGGCTCGTACATAGTCATCAGCACCACCTTTGTATAACTATCAGAAGATGCATCTTGTGGATGGCTCACTAGGAGATTTGAAATCGAGCCTAGTGGTGAAGGAATATTGTTGCAAAATTTTAATGTCGTCTTCTATTGATAATAAACAGCAAGATAATAGCGCTAATAAAATTGATAGAGTAGAAAATAAACAAATTGTTGATAATAATTATTTGAAGATGTAGAGCATAGGGGGTATTAATATATTTTTCTATTAATTATCTAAATTAAATGAATATTTTAATTAATTGCTGAAGTTGGAATTTTAACGCCTTCAAATTAATTGTTTAGAATTTTTGACAGCTGAATAGCTTTTAACAAAAATAGTTTGATTAATTTAATTTGACCTTTGGGTCCTAACGCTAACATTGAAGAAGATACATAATCTCATAGATTTTTATTATTAATATGGTTTTTGTCTTGAAAATCACTTAATTTCGAAAGGTCTAAAGATTTCGAGTTTACAACGATAACCACAGAGACAAACATTTTTTGGGGGTAGTGAGAGTCGCTGTCTCTTATGCATCTGTACTTTGTAATTTACCACTTTTACAGTCCCAGTCATAAGTAACTGACCCCTGATAACTTTCCGAAAATTATGTGTAATGCTCTGAAATTTTCCGAGCACAAAAAACATCACAAACGTTGATATGTTCATAAACTTTCGTATCTCAAATACAGTGGCTCACACATGTAACGGAACACGAAAATTAACTTTCTAGCATTTTTATTTCCATGACTATTAGTTTGGA